CTGTCCTTGTTCGACTCTGTCGGGTTGCTATGAGTCAGAATGACTTGATAATCAAGAACTGAGTTAGGAGTTTGGTCTAGGCTTCATGTTATATACTTTGGGGGTGGGGAAGGGGTGTTGGATGAATAAATGACTGAATAAAAGAACAGGGAAGAGGACTACGGAGTCAGGGTTGTATTAATTGAGTATACCAAGCCTCTCTCAGAGCCCATGGCATATAGTAGCTATCCAATATGTAATTCTTGAATTAAATTGAAAACATTTTTCAAGGCTTGTATAACCTGGCATAAATCATCTCCTTTGCTGAAATTAGGCAGTTAGTAGTGGGTATTGAATACATGCTTCCTAAATGCCTGATTCACCCGTTACCTTTCTAAATAGCCCAATAGGAAGTCCCTCTCCTCTTAAGGGCTATTATTTCTTTTTCAAGCCTTCAGTTAAGTCTTACAGAGCCTTCAAAGTGATAAGTAGATGTAAAATTACACATACAATATGTAAAGTAGCTCTAGTCTCCTACTGTCAGACAGTAAGAAGAAATCATAACCCATTGTCTGGTATTCCAGAGACCAGAGGCGTAGGGTAGTAAAGGGGGAAAGCTGGTCTGTCCCACACGCACTTCCCTTCTGGAGTCAAGGAGAGGGGGCTGCATCTAGGGAATGCAGTGCCAGATTGTGCATAGTTACTAATCTGTAGTGAACTATGTAGGAGCCTCGGTGACAGAGTGGGCTCCACATGGAGCTGCTCACCACTGTCCATGGTTCACACCCACCAGCAGTTGCTCGGGAGAAAATGAGACTGTCTGCCCCCATGAAGAGTTATACATCTCAGAAACCCAAAGGGACACTTCTATTGTGATCTATATGGTCACTATGAGTTGGATTTGACTGATGTTTTTAAAATTTTTTTGTTTTGTCTTTTTTGAGTGAATGATTTGAGTGACATATTTTTTTGACGACCTCAAAGACTCTGCTTCTGGTATGGCTGGCATCTGCGTCTCTCCCGGCCCTACGGCCCTACAGCCCTCCCTACAGAACCGAAGCCTCCTTTTAAATGTGCAATCCTTAACAGGGATGGAATATGGTGGATCCCAGGTGAAACTGTTCACTACAGTCAGCACAAGTAAGCCCAAGCTTACCTTACTCATTGGGAAATCCACCCCTGGGAATGACCAGAAGCACAGTACATGGTGGCCAGGGCTGGGAGCTCCCAGTGACAGGAAGTTCAGGGAGACACACACAGTGGGCATCACAGATGGAATGTGGGAGCAGAATGTCATCAGTCTGCTGTGTAGGAAGTAGACCTTTGGGTGGGGTCTCAAGAGTGCTATCTAACACAGATGAGATGGTGGATGGGATACGAAAGGACGATTAAAGTTGTCGGCCTTCATTGATGTTATTGTTTTGGTTTTTGTTCCCACTCCCATTTGACATTACTAATTTGTTAGCAAGTAACGTTTATAATTTGTCAGAAGTCCATTTATCAGCTAGTCAATTAGCAGCAAAAAAGATGAAGGCCCTCAAGGAGATGGATGGACACCTTGGTTGCAATAATGGGCTCAAACACAAGAGTAATTGTGAGGTTGGCGCAGGACCGGGCAGTGTTCTGTTCTGTTGAGCATAAGGTTGCTATGGGTTGGAACCAACTCGATGGCACCTAACAACCACAACAACACCCAGCTCTCTTCCTCTCAGAACTGCCTCTCCTTTCCCCCCACCAACACACATTCGCACAGGGGCATCCGCTCCCTACCATGTGAGTCCCACCTCCCAAAAGAATTCCACTTGTCTACAATCTGGGGGGTGGGCAGCACATATTGCAGTACATAGTTATGTTCTGCTGGAGAAAAGTCTAGTTGATCTGTAGAGGGAGCCAAAGAAAGGGGACACAGAGGGCAACCCAGATGGCAGCTAGAGAATCTTGAAATCTTCCCAGGTCCTGGCTCAAGCCCCTTCCTGAGATTCGGCCACAGAGCATGAGTGCCTTTGGGCTGCACTTTGTGTCCTTATAATGACACACACACCCTCTCCAGCCCCGTTATTGGCTAACCCTAGCTCAAGTTGGTTTCTCTTCATCACAGCCATGTGGCTTTAATTAATAGCATGCATCAGGCGGTAATCAAAGCTTTCAATGGCACTAACAAAAGCTACCAACAGTTGCAGGATTTGACACCTGAGGCTCATTATGATTTCTCCAATATGCCTCATTCCTTACACCTGCTGAGGCAATGCTGCGGGCTGGGCACTAGGCTGAAGGAATCAAGGGATCGGATTGCAGGTATATTGCAGAGATAGCAATACAGGAAACTGCTTTATTACCGTATATATCTCGATGCCTTCATGCTTATCAATAATTCCTCTGGAACATAGGAAAGTGAGGTTCTTCTGAGCTTTAAGAATCACATTCAGGATTGCTTGCTTAGACTTCAAAGCAATGACAACATCACGCCCCTCATGTTCTATGTGTCCTGAAGCAAATAAAGCCATTAGTAAGCAATGGTGGGGTAAGCAAAATAGCTGATGATGGCTTCTACTTTCCAGGCACCATTCATTCTGGTTTCACGTGGAGCTTGTGAGACCAGCGGAGCCACACTTAGTTTCGTCTCTGTCTTGTGTAGGAGACAATTGTTCATTGACTTCTCCTGCCAGGGAAGATCATTTTCCAGGATAGACTCAAGAAAATACTGATCCCATACTCCATACCATTCCTTAAAACACAACATAAGGCAGCAATTCCTAAGTCCCAAATCTATAACAGCATAGAAACCAAATAAAAGCAAGATGTCAATGGCACCAATGGTCCAAAGACAGTGCTAAAATATTCTGACTTATTGTCTCCAAAGGAGCCTTGGTGGCATAGTGATTACCAGTTGGGTTGCTCACTGCAAGGTCAGCAGTTTGAAATCACCAGCAGCTCTGTGGAAGAAAGACAAGGCTTTCTACTCCTGTAAAGAGTTACATTCTCAGAAACCCACAGGGACAGTTCTACCCTATCCTGTAAGGTTGTGCTGAGTTGGAACCGACTCAAGGGCTGTGGGTTTTGAGTGTATGATCTCCAAATGGACACTTCCATTCATTCGTGCCTGTTCTTTCCATTTTGCTTTTGGAAATGCGATCCCCATAAAATCCATTGGGCATCTTACAATGTGGTCATGAACACAATGTGATTTTATAATCTTTTCTTTTCTAATAACTCCCATTTATTAAGAGCCAACTCTGTGCAGGCCTTATACCAGATATTGTTATATGCACTTATGCACTGAGAACCTGAACTACAAACCTTTCATAAGAAAGAAAAAAAAATGAAACTCTGCATAAAGTTCCAGGTCTCCTGCTCTGTGCTTCCAGGAAAGCAAGGACTCCAGGCATGACTGCAGAGGCTCAAGAAGTGACATTGCTCATAACCCTACATCCCACAAATCCTTGCATGTCTTTTTCTTGCAGCCTTAATACGCACATGTTCCACACGCCTCCCCTTTCTCTCCTCTGTGCTCTGAGAACAGCTAAGGGACTCCTGACTTCCTGCCCTGATCTGTCAGCATACCCGGCACTCTATATGGTTCTGTCCACACCAGGCCCAGCACATGTGTATAACCAATGCTTGTGGATGAAAGTATAAGTGAATGAAAGTCCATAAAAGAATCAGGTTGTCTTCCTCTGGCGAAATGAAACTTAAACTACGTACCTAGTTCTTTCACAGCATCTCGCCGGTTCGTTTCCAAAATGTCATTTAATTTCTGTAAGAGATTCAAGACAGCATTCACTTTCAATTACACTAAGTCCATTTCTTGTTTTTAAAATGGACGGGGCATGGTGGGGTGAAGTCGTTTCATTTAAGGTTGGAGGGAGACATGTGGCTCCATCCTTTCCTCCGCACCAACTCTGCTGCGTGACCCGGCTCCTGTCTACATTCCACTGCACGCCTGCAGTCAGTCGGTGGCTTGCCTGACTGGGTACTGGGCCTGGAACGTCTCAGAAAGGACGAGTGTGTGCTGCCCTGGGCAAGGAGTGTTCTTAGCAACATAGCATGAGGAGCTGCATGGGGAGCCAGTCAAGCAGGAGAGCCTGCAACCAAATGATTGATGAGCAATGATGTCATCCATGAGTTCAAGTTCAATTCCTTCTGGAACTGAAGAAACAGCTCCATGCCAGGGCTAACCAGCCCGTATAAGATCAACCCACACATATTTGTTCAAAACCTACCGCCTCCCAGGTACTCTTTCTCCTGAGGCTTACTCTCGAATTGTGTTTGGCCACACCAACCCTCAAGGGACCAACACCTGGGTTGCCAGATGTAAATGACTGGGATTCTGCCCTTGAATGACTCGTGGGTTGGTGCTAGCGATTGCCTACTGGCTGCAGCAACAATGGGCTCACACGCAGCAACCCCTGTGAGGATGGCGCAGGACCAGGCAGCGGTTCGTTATTGTGCCCAGGCTCGCTAGGAGTCGAACCGGCTCGACAGCACCAAACAACAACAACAACTGGCTTGTTTTCTAGCATTACAGCAGTTTTAAAAACCTCCCTGACAAGTTCCTTGGTTTAGGACAATCCCATGAGATACTATAAGAATTCCCTATATAACGTTTATTAAATTGTTTTTCCGCCTCACTTACTATTTATCATCATAAACACTCAGATGGTGATCCAGCTGTGCTTGCACAGGAGCACAGAGAGCAGTTAATTCCCCGGACGTGGAACAGGAAGACTCCCGTAGGATGGCATGGCCAAGAGAACCTAGAAACAGACTCCTGTCTAATCACGATGGTCTAGGTGTAGGTGTGATCGTTCTAAAAGCGAGCTGCCACCAGCCAGTTTCCTGAACCACATCACTTCCAAAACAAACTTCAGTCTGGTGTCTAAACGTGTATCAAAAAGCCATGTGAGTCGTCACTGGAGCCTTCTCAGAAAAACGTCCATGGGAGATTCACTTTAGCCTCTTACACATCAGGGCAACTGTCTCCTAAACTTCTCAGTGGACCCCCAACTGCTCTGTTTGCAATTGATAAACAGCAGAGACTGTTCTTCCTGCAGCACCTCCTATCACATCATGAACCGCTTGATTGCCTGCAATGATTCCGATTTATCTGTAGAAGTACTCTTAAGAGAAATGAATAAACCTGCGTAACTCCCTTACCAACCGAGACAGCCAGGGATTGTTTCTCACCTGATATATTGACTCTCGGCTAGAAATTTGTTTAATTAAATATTTGGCATCCTCTTGACTTTTGACATAGCCTTTTGTAATACTATACATCAAACTGAGACGCTCCTTAATTAGCGCATCTACAATATTAATCAGGACCGGTATTATGACCTAGGATATTGGGAAGGAAAGGGGAGAAACCCTGTAATTCGGAAAACAACAACAAAGTGGCTCAACAGTAAAGGTTCTTAAAGTGTGGTGAGAATGAGAACTTGGGTTGCTTTAGGAGAGAGGCGGACAGGCTGTTATGAGCACCTAGATTCATTTTCTCTCATACAGATTCTGTACATGGAGAGCTTTATCCACCCAAGTCTCAGCTCAATGCCCCCATGGTAACCATTGGGGCATTTTTTGTTATTTGCTATAAATAATAATTAGTATCGACTCAATGGCGATGAGCTTGGTTTGGTTTGGTGAGTCTTCGGGAAGTGTTGCCTGATTCTTGATCATTTTGCTCCTTCAACAAATTCTTCACTGTATTTCTGACAGAAGCTCCAGTTTGCTCCAGTTTGACCGAAGACAAGGATGGCCATCAATGTCCAGCCATTAAAATCTCTGTGAAGGACATTTCTCCTCAGACACACAGGGTTTCATGAGGCGTGGCCACAGTGACGGCAGCTGGTTTGGTTTTACATGCTACGTGCCCATCTAGAACTTCACGTTCCATCAACAACCATAGCAACAAGCAGTAAGTGAGTAAATAGGGCCCAAGCATTTGGGGGAAAGAAAAGTAGGTGGAAGAGGATCAGGAGGAGGAGGAAACTAAAGGTGTAGAGGGCAGGTTGTCATTTTAGGTAAGAGTGGTGAGCAAGAGGAAGCTTCGGTGAGAAGAGACGAGGTTTGAATAAGGAGGTGAGGGACAGAACTAAGCTAATTGATACCTGTGGGGAAAATTGTTTAGGAAAAGAAACAACTTCTTCCCTTTGTGCAGCGGTTCTCAACCTGTGGGTTGCGACCCCCTTGGGGGTCCAATGACCCTTTCACAGGGGCCGCCTAAGACCATCGGAAAACACATAAATATTTCACAATAAATATATAATTACATATCGTTTTCTGATTAATCACTATGTTTTAATTATATTCAACTTGTAACAATGAAAATACATCCCACATATCAGATATTTACACTGCGATTCATAACAGTAGCAAAATTACAGTGATGAAGTAGCAATGAAAATAATTTTATGGTTGGGGGGTCACCACAACATGAGGAACTATATGAAAGGGTCGCAGCAATTGAGAACCACTGCTTTAGTAGAATGTAGGTGGGGGATTATTTTAGTGTAAAGTCTTACCTTAATGATTGGAAGAAACCTAATGATTCTGAAATATCCCATGAGTACTGTAATCTGAATCAGGATTGAGTTTTCTGGTCTCAATTTGACAAAGTATATACACAAGACATCAGCTAGTCCAAGGAGCAAGATAATAAATTCCAAAGTATTCCAACATAGTTGAAAATATTTCCCTTTAAAAATTAGTATCTGTTTAGGATATTGAAAACAATAAATACATGTCATTGCATGGAACCTGTACCGTGTGTGTGTAGGGGGTGTGAGAAGGCTGTAGCTTACAAACTAATAGTCCAGCCTTCAACTACAAAGTATTAATAGTCCAAAGGTTTAGCTTGAATTCATTCATTTAAAATCAGTAAGCCTACAAATGGGCTTTGGGTCTCTGCACTTCCCCCCTCACTCACTATGTTCTGATGATACCTTATACCTGATCCCTTTGACACCTCGTGATCGTACAGGCTGGTGTGCTTCTTCCATGTGGGCTTTGTTGCTTCTGAGCTAGATGGCCGCTTGTTTACCTTCAAGCCTTTAAGACCCCAGATGCTATACCTTTTGATAGCCGGGCACCATCAGCTTTCTTCACCACATTTACTTATGCACCCATTTGTCTTCAGTGATTGTATCATGGAAGTGAGCACACAATGATATGATTTTTTGTTCTTTGATACCTGATAACTGATCCCTTGGGCACTTGTGATCACACAGGCTGAGGTGTTCTTCCATGTAGGCTTTGTTGCTTCTGGTTCCTAAATGCTTCCTCCACCCCCCACTATCATGATCCGAATTCTACCTTGCAAGTCTGGCTAGACCAGAGGATGTACACTGGTACTGATAGTAACTGGAAACACAGGGAATCCAGGGCAGATGATCCCTTCAGGACTAGTGGTGTGAGTGGCGATACTGGGAGGGTAGAGGGAGAGTGGGTTGGAAAGAGGGAACCGATGACAAGGATCTACATGTGACCTCCTCCCTGGGGGACGGATGACAGAAAAGTGGGTGAAGGGAGACGTCGGGCAGAGCAAGATATGACAAAATAATAATTTCTAAAATATCAAGGGCTCCTGAGGGAGGGGGTAGCAGGGAGGGAGGGGAAAAATGAGGACCTGATGCCAGGGGCTTAAGTGGAGAGCAAATGTTTTGAGAATGATGAGGGCAATGAATGTACAAATGTGCTCCACACAATTGATGTATGTATGGATTGTTATGAGTTGTATGAGGCCCTAATAAAACGATTAAAAAAATAAGATAAAATAAAATCAGTAAGCAGTATTTTAACCTTCAGCATAAAAAGTTATGTTGATTCTTAATATATAATTTATACTGAAGCTGGAATGCTAAAACAAGAAGTGAAAAATTACAGTAAACATGTTTATTGCAATACTACTAATGACAAAGTATAAAAATAGTAATAATTTTAAAAAGTACTTCACCATCTCATATCATAAGATCCTAGCAAACCTATCTGTTTTTATTCATTCATTCATTGCCTCAGTCCAGAAAGTATTTGAAGGAAACATACCTAGGTTTCCAGTTTCCTTTTGACCCTTGAGAGTCTCTGTATGCTTGTACTTCTTAATATACTCTGAATAACAACAACCAAACCCTCACTGCCATCCAGTCAATGCTGACTCAGAGCGACCATATAGGGCAGAGTAGAACAGCCAAGATGAGGCTCCAGTCTGTAAATCTTGACGGCAGCCCAAAGTCTCATCTTTGTCCCAGGGGACATCACCTGGTAATAAGCAGCCCATGACACCACCAGGGCTCTTGATGTCCTATACTATGTCTTACTATACTCTGAGGATAATTTTCACTGATTTCATTAGTAAACTCTGAAAATCCAAGAAGATAACTAGAGAAATCCAGAACCTTATGAACTATGGTAACAATGATAATACAAAAACATATCCAAAATATCTAAACTCTTCTATTTATATATTTCTATGTGGAACAGTACCTTTAATGTTGCTTGTAATATATATAAAAACACAAAATAGTAGTTTACTAATATCAGTCCCGACACATTTAATTCTCTTGCCATTGGCCATAGATGCATTATCATAGGGAAAATATATAGTAATGTAATAATATATCCTGTATATTCAAATTCTTCTGACAAGACAATTGGATACATAAAAAACAATAATCTATCATTCCTGCAAAAAAATAATATCAAATAAAATGTCAGATCACTTAAAGGTATAACAGTTATAATCTGTAGTTCAACATTTGTTTAAAGAGCATACAAATTATTAACATTGTGAAGTTTATAAACTATATGAAATAATACGTAAGCAAGAATAAAAACATACTTTCCATACATAAAAGCCATATTAGAGAAAGATTAAGAATATGGTTCTAGCTCATCTGTATTAGGGATGATGTTATGCTTGCAATGATGTCACTCCCAAAACATGTGCTTATGCATGTAGTCCTGTTAGGAAACGGAAGTTATCTTTTATTATATTACTGCAGCCACACTAGAGCAGGATCAGTCCTAAAAGTAATCACTCTTAAGTTATTATAAAGAGCAGAATAGACACACAGGGGAAGATAAACCCCCAAAATGCCAGAGAACTCTCAGGGCTGCCAACAAAGATGGCCGCTTCCCTAGAGCTGATGCCCTGATTTGAACTTCTAGCCTCCAAAACTGTGAGACAATAATTTCACTCCCTTAAAGCCACCCTTGAAGGGTAACATTATAGCCACAGTAGGTAACTAATTCAAATGAGAAACTTTTTTTTAAAATCAAGGCCATAGTTTACAGGGGAAAGAGCAAAAATTCATAAATTTAGAAGAAAATGGACTAGACACCAGAATGATTTGAAATTAAGAATGAATACAGATACACAGATATCTATTCAATAATTGCCAGGGCATATTTTATTTTAAACCTTCAATCCATCTAAAGTGGAGCCTGTCAAGAACCAATTGTTTGAATATAGGTCAAGACCCTGAAGTTTTCATTTTTTATATTTCTTTTTAAACATAATAAGTGGAAGAAAGGAAAATGATCAGAATTTCTTATAAAAGGAATGCTAAACCATTTTTTAAACTTTGTAACATTAATGCTGCTGCTGCTTTCCTGGTTTGACATCTGTTTGTTAAAAACTTGGTTTGGGGGATGAACAACAGAAACATGGGCAAAGGGAGACAGAAGATGGTGGAAGATGTGAATTTATAATTTGTAATTGCTAATTATAATTTATCAAGGGTTCAAGAGGATGGAAGGGTTGGGGAGGGAGGGAGAAAAAGAGGAGCTAGTACCAAAGAAAATGTTTTGAAAATGATGATGGGAACATATGTACAAATGTGTTTGATACAATTGATGTATGGATTGTTATAAGAGCTGTAAGAGCCCCCAATAAAATGATTAATAAAAAAATTAAATCTTGGATTTTATGCTCCAGAACAAGCACATAAGTTCACAAATTATATAAGGGAGTTCCAAAAGGTTTATGGGAAAAAATCATTACCTTTTAATTCAAAACATTCCATGAACTTTTTGAAGAGCTCTCATATAGCAAAACAAAGGGTCTTCCCAAGTTCATTGGACTCTGCATCTTGTGATACAGATACAGAAAATTCGTAATAGGACCATATTGTGTGTTTTCCTAATTACAGAACTACCCTATGATACAGATGGAAATAAACTGAAAGCTAGATCTACAGGTTAGATACTTCTTCTCCCCTACTTCTCTGTATTATACCCAGAAAAATACGAAGGCAGCCCAGTATGCAATGTGACCTAAAGACATCCCAATTAACACTTAAAAGCTCCAAATGGGATCACTCTTGCCTTTCTTGTCCTGCTCACCCTCTGATGGCGATGTCACTGAGGTGCCACAACAGAAAGAGAAGCAAACACGCTGCTCATTCACCATTTGACAAGAGTTGACTCTGATACTAATTAATTGCTTGCTTATAAGGTGATCTATTTTGACAATAGAGAAAAGTAGATTGCCTCTAAAGATTCACACTACTTACCCAGTTGGAATAAAAGGTAATTTTTCTTTACGATATTCCAAGACAGTAATCATGTTTTTAAATTTCATAAGCCAACTTCTAGATCTCACATAATTAGAAACATCATAAATACTCATGAATCTAGCAAGGAAGAAACATATACAAATATACACATATACATATATGTTGCAATAAAAAAGCAAGTGCTATACTTTGGGTTACATAAAAGAATAATATGAGCCTACTAAGCAGGCTCAGTACTCATTCAGATGTCCATTCATGGTCATGATATGAGAATATTTTTAGGATGACATCCCTGATGTCCCTGATCCTTGAATTATTCCTGACCTGAGGTGGAGCATAAGTAAAGTTTCTCTGGGCTGGCTATTTGGGCCTCAGAATTAGGTTCCCTTTGTCTTGCCTTGCCTAGTCCAAGCCTCTCCAAGTCCCTAAGGACCTTCCCCTTCCCCAACTCTATCCTAAGGTAGAGCTCCTAGATATAATAATAAACAAATAAATAAAAATCTCTCTCACTACTATGGAGTCAATTCTGACTCATAGTCCTATAGGATGGACAAGAACTGCGGGTTTCCAAGAAAGCCTCGTCTTTCTCCCAATCTCCTAGACAGATTATATGAAATGTTAATTTACACAATGATAGGATCTCCTAGCATTAGGGGAAGGTTGCCCCACAGCTTTGTCTTGGACCGTCCATTATCTAATACTCCCCAGGACTGTGATCAGATGTTACCTGTGGCTCTTGAGTCAGTTCCAACTCAGAGAGACTCTGTAAGATAGAGTAGACCTGCCCCAAAGTTTCCACAGTTCTAAATCCTTATGGACCCAGACTGCCACATGGTTCTTCTTCAGAGTGGCTGGTGAGTTTGAACCTCTTACCTTTTAGTTAGCACTGTGCCACCAAGGATTAGGTATTTCTCTATCTTTAAGACAAGGGATTTTCCTACCAAACTTAGTGGTATCTTATCAGTGCCAGCACTTGGGTCATTCTACACTTGAAGGAATATTCCCATAGCAGATTCCAGGTTTCCCTACCTCCCCGATCGAGTAATTTAGTGTCTATGATATCAAGGTGAAAGAATTTTAATAGTAATTGCAACCACATAGATTTTCTTCCATGGAGCCTGTAGTCTTTTATTTGTTGAGATGAAAACTTACTCCAGAAGTGACAGAAGGATTATGAAACTCAAGAGAAAAAAATTAAGTAAAATAGGAAATGGATGATTAGTTGGGTGGACAGATAGGCAAACAGGAGAATGAATGGATGGATAGAGATATATGAGAAAGAGAGAGACATTAATCTATTTGGACATTTAATTGTCAGTTTGTTCATTCTTTATCACAAACCCACTCAATTTTGGAAATATCAGTTAAGTATTACACTTACTTTCCTTGGATTGGGCAATAGCTTTTGGTTGCACCAATTAATATCCGGGCTGCTTCTGCATTGAGGATTCCATCATTACATTGTTTTTCAAAGCTACTCTACACATAAAAGTTTAAATTAAAATTATAAAGGTTCAAAACATAACCCCACTATTATTACTGAAATCAACACAGGAATATACTCTATTACAAAAAAAATACAGCAGGATATAAATTTCATTCAACTCCTTATTGAATATTCATTTTTTGCAAATAATTTTCCTGGATGTTAAGAGGTATGCAAAGTTTCTAGTATTAACAAATTGAAATCCTATACAGCTAAATCTGTTCTACTTCAGTAATGTAAACAGCATCAGCTCTCTGCAGCAGAAGAGACTGTGGAAAGTATTATTCTAAGTAATGAAACTTTTAGAAAGAAGAGTGGGGAAATTGGAGGTAGGGAGACCAATTAAATGTTACTAATTATCCTGGTGTGAGATTACGCTGGCTGGACTGGTGGAAATGTATAAGCGAATGAAAACGTAGTATTAATACTTTGTATTAAAAATAAAGGATAAAAAGCAGGTTTTATAAATAGTACTGACCATTTGTATTATAGCTACATGCAACCTGGCTTCTTCTATTAATTCTTCATCTGTTAGAGATGCCTCCTCTTTTATATTAGGGGAAAATTTAACAGCATCCTCCTAAGTTTAAAATATATGGAGAGGAAGTTAGAAAAATGAAACTGATTAGAAGCTGGTAAATTCTATGCTCAGCAGACCGTAATCACTCATTTCAGAATTGCTACAATGAAAAGGACTTGATGTGCCTTGGATCACATTTCCTCGTGCAAGACATTGTTTTCAAAAATGGTGAAATAAATCTTCGTTTGATTTAGAAGCCAAATTCTTCCCCAGCCCGTCTGCTTGCATGCCCTTGGAAGCTGCCTGGGCTTTCTGCTTTTATCAGACTGCGAGGGGAGAGATCTCTCAGTGCCTCGGCCCTGGAAACATTAGCTTCACAGAGGTCATGGGTCATTATTCAAAGAGCCAGTTTATAAAAACACCAATTTCCCTCAAACATCCCTGTATCACCCAGATAGCAAAGCTAGTTAAATACATTTTCTCAGCTTTCTGGTTTTCAGTTAACAGATCCAAGTTGTTTGTAACACACTAAAGCAAGACAGGCAGACCCAGGGATGCTGGGGTGGGGGGGTGGGAAACACTGCCATTGATCCTAAAAAGAGCTCTGGCGGCGTAATGGTTACACGGTGGACTGCTAACCACCAGGTCAGCAGTTTGAAACCACCAACCAGCTGAGATAGAAAGACAAGGCTCTCTATTCCCATAAATAGCTACAGTTTGGGAAACTCACCAGAACAGTTTAACCCTGTCCCTACAGGGTCGCTGTGAGTGGGAGTAGACTAAATGGCAGTGAGTCTGGTTTTCAAATTTGCCATTGACCATGGTAGCACAGTGGGTTACAAGTCGGACTGCTAACATCACAGTAGGCAGTTCAAACCCACCAGGGCTGCTAACAGCACAGTAGGCAGTTCAAATCCACCAGGTGCTCCATGCCTTAAAGATTTACAGGGAAATTCTGCCCTGTCCCTAGGGTCCCTATGGGGGAAGGAAAGAAACCCTGTGTTTTTGGTTGGTCAGCTATTATTAACTCACAGGCATGATGTATTCAATTCTGGATTTTTCTTCCACTAGGGTCCAATTAACATTTGTCAAAATTTTCTCTGTTTTAAGTAGAGTTATCGTGTTCGCTATAATCTCCTTTATGTGCCCAATGGCATTTTGCATAGCTATTTGTCTGGGGATAGAAATCGAACACAAACCTGTAACAAAGAAAAGCAAGGTCCTTAACAGAGTAGCAAGAGGAAGCGAGCACACCGTTGCCTGATTATGTAGTGACACCTTGAGTTTACCTGCAGAGCCGAACCACAGCCCAGAGCTCTTACACCAAGGGCAACACTTCATCCAAATTTTTCCAGAAAATCAAGCTGTTGATCGTATAGCTAAGATTTATCTAAAACTGTTATTAGTTTGTTTTCTTTCCCAATAGCTTTAGCCATAATTTGCTACTTCAGGGCACTCCCTCAATCCTTTTCAAAGTGCGGAAGACCGCCAGTGTGGTTTTACTAAACTATATAAATGCCTGGATGCTATTCCCTACCAAGAGCCAGCAAGGTATGGGGCTTTGAATTTTAACAAGCTCTCCAACTGATTCTTACCCTAAAGTGAAAGGTCACTGCCATGGAGGCCTTTCAAACTGGAGATTCCTGCTTCGTGGCCAGCAACGCGATAATTCCAAATAGTATCCCTTTTCTTTTTCTTGAGGTATGAGTTTGAAATTATCACTCTAAGTCTCACTTACCAAGGAGAGGAGTTCATGAATTAGTTAGGCCTACTCATTCACAACTCCTATAAAAATTAAAATCCACAGGGACGCAAAGCCCATCTGTAGGCAACTGGACATCCCCTTACAGAAGGGTCATGGGGAGGAGACGAACCCACAGTCAGGGTGCAGTGTAGCAACGATGAAACAACTTTCCTCTAGTTCTTAAATGCTTCCTCCCCGCCACTATCATGATCCCAATTCTACCTTACAAATCTGGCTAGACCAGCGCATGTACACTGGTACAGATAAGAGCTGGAAACACAGGGAATCCAGGACGGATGATCCCTTCAGGACCAGTGGTGAGAGTGGCAATACGGGGAGGGTGGAGGGAAGGTGGGTGGAAAGGGGGAACCAATTACAGGATCTAGATATAACCCCCTCCCTGGGAGACGGACAACAGAAAAGTGGGTGAAGGGAGACGTCAGACAGTGTAAGATATGAAAATAATAATAATTTATAAATTATCCAGGGTTCAATGGGGGTGGGCGTGGGGAGGGAGAGGAAAAATGAGGAGCTGATACCAAGGGCTCAAGTAGAAAGCAAATGTTTTAAGAATGATGATGGCAACAAATGTACAAATAGAAAGCAAATTTTTTGAGAATGATGATGGCAACAAATGTACAAATGTGCTTGACACAATGGTTGGATGTATGGATTGTGATGAGTTGTACGATGCCCCAATAAAATGATTTTCAAGTAAATAAATAAATACATCATTAAATCCAAACCCACTGCCATCTAGCTGATTCTAACTCACAGTGACCTTATTTCAGGTTTTTGAGAATTTACATCTTTACCAGAGCACATTGTGTCCTTGTTGTTAGATGTCATCGAGTCCGTCCCAATCCATAGCAACCCTATGCACAACAGAATGAAACACTGCCCATGTCGGTGGTTCAAGTATAACTTTCTACTGCAAACAAGAACAAACCTATCATTTGGAGAAAAGGAGAACTGCCACAAAGGTGTTAGCAGTTCACCAGGCCTACCTCTGACCAGCCCCTTGGGTTTGAGATGGGCTGTCACAGGAAGCAATGGTGCTCGCAGGGCACAATTCAATGAATGGGTAAGACTATCAGAGCTGATATAAGTGGAGGAATGACAGGTCTTGTAAATTCACCAGACTATTTCTCTGTGAAGAACTTTCTTTCAACACGACCCTTCCTTGGCCTTTTTATTGCTTCCATACTCTCAAAGCAACCTGATTACTAACTTGGGGTATCAAGAAAACTTGTATTCAGACCCCAGTAATATGAAAAATAATAAAATTATTTAAAATAATAAAATTTATATTAAGAACTGAAATAATAATCATTAAGTATATCAGACATAGAAAAAATTGTATTCTTTATAAATTGATAAATTGATTTTCTGGTTTATCTCTACTCTCTGATATATGTAGTATATATAAATCTCCAGGAATCTGATCAATCCTAGATACCTTGACAAAACCAGGCTTCTGTAACAGCAAATACGAGAAAAAGGCCATAAGACACTGAACCTGTGCAAAGACCCTACTATAAGAATTTGTCTACTCCCAACCCAGCATCCTCCTTCCCCTGCCTGATTGCTACTGATGAGCTTATTCTGTATTTTTCAAGTAACCATATATCTATTTGAAATTTTATTGTATTTTGGTCATTTTACTCTAAATACTCTCAAATTAATTTTGGAAACAGACAACTGTGGCAGAACCTATTAATTTGGCCCTCATATCCTTTCTCTCCTTTTCCCCTTTACCAACAGAATCTCTGAGTTTTGACTGAACATACTGCCAACCAGGTCAAGAAAATATTTCCCATCTCCCTTTGCTCATATGTGGGCATGAGATTATGTTCTGGCCAATGGAATGTGAGTAGCAATAGTGCATACAACTTCTGAATCGTTTCCTCGAAAGAAAGCTGCTTACCATCCATTGGCCACACCCCTTTCCCTCATCCTAATTAGCTGGATTGTAGACATAGTGGCAGTCAGATAGTCTTTATCCTTCAGGAAAGGATAGCACCCTGGAGGATGGAGAAGCATCAAAAGAGAAATCTTTTGTCCCTGGACAGCATTGTTGGTGTGGCATTGCGATTTCACCCTTCAGGACTTTCAGTATGTGTGGTGGCAAAGAAAGCATTCTCTCTTGTTTAAATTCCAAAATGCACTGCCATTGAGTGGATGGTGACTTAAAGTGACCCTATAAGACAGGGTAGAACTGCCCTGTGGGTTTCTGAGACTGTAACTCTTTATGGGAGTAGAAAGCCTCATCTTTTGCGCACAGAGTAATAGCTGGTGGTTTCAAACTTTTGACTTTTTAATATAACCAGTATGCCTCTCTCGTATTTAAGTCAATGCTAATTCAGGTTCTTTTAAACTGTCTGGACCCATTAAACACGTCTATAAATAATGAGTTCATGATTCCTCTGGTTCCTTGAGGCTTCCTCAGCCCCCACTATCATGACCCCAGTGCTGCTTCTCAATTCAGAGTAGACTGGAGCATGTACACAGGTATAGATAAGAGATGGGAGCTCATGACACACAGAATCCAGGAACAGTAGGGGAATAGCAATACTAGAAGGGTAGGGGGAAGGGGGCAAGGAAGGGAGAAAGGGGGAAACTATCGTAATGATTGACAGACAACCATACACCCCTCTCCCGGGGGAAGAACAACAGAAAACATGGGGGAAGGGAGACAGCGGTTGGTGTGAGATATGAAAATAATAATTTATTTACAATCTATCAAGGGGCCATGCTGGGGGGAGGGAGAAGGGCTACAAAGAGAAGTTACCAAGGGCTCAATAGAAAGTAAATGTCTAGAAATGAATGAAAGCAACATATGTACAAATATGCCTCATGCAATCAATGTATGGATTGTAACAAGAGTTGTAAGAGCCCCCAATAAAATGATCTTTTAATAATAAAAAATAATGAGTTAATGAAAATGAATGATCTATGAACCAATTCCTTGAGCTCCACAAGAAAAGCCCCATGGGAAGTGGGCACTACCCACGCATCAGGAGAGTATTGCTTATATCTCCACAGGAAAGGAGAGCGGGACCAGACCTCAAACTGGTGCACCAAGACTTGAAGGCAACATACCGGCATGAACAACAAACCAACAGAGAGGTCTGCAGGACCGGCCCCCATCCCAGCTACATGGACCTCCTCCCCAGATGAATATACTACAGAGGACAGCACTGAAGTAAAGCCCAGGGAGAGGGGCGGGTCTGTTCAGAACACATGGGAGCAAACTGAGAGGGAAGGTGAGAGAGAGAGAGAGAGAGAGAGAGAGAGAGAGAGAGTAAACTGTAAAAGGGAGAAGGATGCTGCAGAAAAGAGATTACATTTAGATTAG